AAGCTTTGGATTTCTCCACATGCTGAAGTGGTGTACATGGCGCTGTATTAAGTCTGCTACTCAGCATTCAAAGTGTTTGGAGGGTTGTGTCGTTTTTGCTTTTCAGCCCTCACAAAGTCAAAGACACATGAGAAAAGTGAGAAAAGATTGCATTAAAATGTTTGTCCCGGCACTGAACCCCAAGTTGCTCCCCAGGTGCCAATGGCTGCCCACTGTGGACAACATATGATGTTATATATTGAAAGTAATATATACATATAAATACTATATTAAAATGTTAATTAGCTGCCTTTTTGTTATTGTGACGAGATCAACACGGCATGTGCACACACAAACACGTGTACAGTTCTCATGTTCTCACCTAGAATGTCAGGCTTGTCGTCTATTAGAATGTCTCCGGTGATTAATGTCTTGTCTCTTGTCAGGATGACCTGTTCCAGAAAATCATGGCCCAAATGCTTCTCTACCCAGGCATACTGAAAACACACACACACACACACACACACACACACACAGAGCAGATGATATCTAATTAGAAAAAGGAAAAACAGAATCGATGTTGGTGATTGACAGAGAAGCTGCTTACCTTCTCATACGGGCAGTGTTGGTAATGGTTTATAGGGCTGGTGCAAAGAAAGACATCTGTGCTGTGGAAAGAAAGGGAAACAAGACCAGAGTGGAAAAAATGTAAACATACAAACATTTCTATATTCCATCTGCTGATACCTGACAGACACGCTTGCTCTTTATAACGGGAATTAATATTGGAGACGGGCAGTGGGCCGTCCCTGGTAGGGAAACAAACAAGTGAAAAACAAAAGTGAAAAATATGAGACCAGACCATATGGCAGAGTTCCCTGATAAGAAAACAGGTTCATTCAAGCACTGGTGGCTAAAGAAACACATTCATTTCCACCAGGAGAGGAAATGTAAACATACAATTTCATAACTATGGCGGCTATTTTTAGACCTTATTCCACTGTGTTGTGTATTTCTGAGAATGCTATCGGAAATAGCAATCACAGCCTCCTTTGTGTTGACTCAGATTACACTAGTGTGAAATATCTCTCTGCAGATGCCAGGTACATGATGCTTTCACAAAACACACAAAGTGGAGTGCACCAAAAGCATGTGGGCCTGTGACAGACGTAACACTGATAGTGAGAGCTCAGGACTGAAGCTACTCATATCACACAGCATGTACCATCTTTAAATATATCGCCTGTTGGAATGAATAACTCTATAGTAGCAAGTGTATTGGCAAGAATCGGGCTACAAGATACGTATCACAATACACAGGCTACGATTCAATAATTGTGATATACTGCAATACTGTAAGCTTGGCGAGATATTGCAAATTCATTTAAAAAACTTTTTTTTTTTAGGAAAACTACCACAGTATAAAGAACACGCCACCATATAAATAAAGTCTGCTTTCAAAAAAGTTGGAATGTGCATTTGTATTTATCACAGTACCTGTATAATCCATCCATCATAGCCCTCAGTTTGCATTTACAACACAGCTATCGAGCAGTTGGGAGTTTAAACACAAACATTGGTAGTGTTTTTGAGAAATGGTTACAATATCACAAAATAAAATATCACGACACGATATTTTTCGATATTTCCTAACACGCATAAAAAGATTTATTTACATGTACCAATACCTGGGGATTAAAACCAGTAGAAACACTGAATAAAGCCATTTCAAAAAGGTTTAATAACTGTCTGATGACTAAAAATGACTAAAATTGTGTCGGTTTATCTGTTTTATCAGTCAAGGATATTTTAATATTTCTTTGACATTTCAATTCCAATGTCTGAATATTCTTAAGAAATAAAAGCTCATTGCTCTTTAAAAGAGTGTACTTGCATTATTACGCTCATCACTGTATCAGCAGCATAAAATGGCCTTCAAATGACAATAAATGTAACAGCAGTAGGAGAGGAACCTCATCATGCACACAGCACCAACCTGTCTATACCCAATACATTACAACAATAAGCAGACATGGTGCCCTGCTTTGTGATTTCCTTTTCGCTGACATGACACAGTGTAACATGACACAGTTTCCATCCATCAGTCGGACTCTGCACCTCCATACAGTATTGATCATAGAGTCTGCAATATGCATTAAACATCCATAAATAAACAATAGTGAGTAGGAGTGTGAGCATGTGTCTAACCTTAAACAGTGTTCCTCCTCACCATCCACCTTCTTTTATTCATGTTTTATTAGATATTGACTATTGGTCCAATGTGTTTTTTTTTTTTTTCCCTTTTTTTATTATTTTTTTTTTGTCTTTTTATGTTCCACTGTACAGCACTTTGGTCATTTTATACTGTGTTTAAATGTGGCTTTATAAATTTACTTTACTTACTTACTTACCTTATCACCTTATTCAAATCCAAAGCTCTCGCCAGATCGTTAGTGCTACTTAGTCGTCTGTTCCACCCACCACTGTTGCACTTTGAGGCACAAAATCAACTCCTGGTGTCCATCCCTCCATAAGCTCTCAGTCATTCTAACCTTAGATGAGAAATTCTGCACTCACTCCTCGGGCCCGCGCTGTCTTTGGTGAAAGTGCTTTTTAAATCATCTTGGTATGAGCAACAGAGTCACCTTAAATTAGATGGAGCCAATAACTCTAACCCCTAACCAAGCCGTTTTTTCTCTTTTATCTGAAACTTTATGCTGCTGTCTTGGCAAGGACTCCCTTTGTAAAAGAGATTTTGAATCTCAATGGGAATAGACCAGGTAAAATAAAAGTAAAATAAATGTGTTGTCTACTCTCCACATTCGCTCACATTGCGAGATGATGTTGCTCAGGAACCCGTGTATATCACATTGTACTCGCAGCCAAATCACTTTAAATATTAAATTAGTGAATTGCATCTTCAAGACCTACTTGTCCATCTTGGCCATCTCCTTAACCGCCTCCACTCCTCCTGGCAGCGGTTCCAGTTCTATGAAGAAGTCCTTGGACTCCCAGATGCTACTGGCTTTTTCCTGGAGTCGACAAATGAAAACAAAAACTATATAACATATAAACACACACACAAACGCGGCTTAGTATCAGCGTACATTGATAAGTTGATTGTATGTGCGTGCGTATCCACGTGAGTGTACATGTGCTCTGAAAGAAGTCCAAAAGGCAACATTTTCAAGGTCAGCAGGCACAGAAAAGCTGATATTTGAGCGAGACCGAACTGTACAGCTTTCTTGAATGTTTTATTCATGAAAAAGCAAAGACATGAAAAAGATCTTTGAGGTCTGTTTCTTCTTCTGTCCTCATGCTTAACATGGACATTGTACCCCTGACCTGGTTTATGATTTAGTGTCATATTTTATCAGTGTGACATAACATAAATTACATATATATTTTAGATGGCTTTTAATATCTTTACAAAAAACTGGGATGAGTAAGCAATTTCCCCTTCGTCACAAAGACAGATGGACTGGCTTTAACATGCTACTGCAGTGTGTAAGACCATTATGTAGGCTACATCTATGCTTCAGTTGTTTGTGCATCATTAGCAGACATACAAACACCAGTGAGAATCTAGTTCAAAGTATGCTGTATTCAAATAAAAGCCTAGAATAGTCTGTTGTTGATTCATTCATTTAGTATTATGCCCTATCGCTACTCCAAAGTTGGACAAATATGCGTTTCCACAGAAAAAACTCTAAATATTAAATGCGACGTTCACTCTTGACTGTGAAAATAACCTTAGGGTGTCTTAAAATACTGCAAATGACAGGCCCGTGACAAAGTGAGTAACGCACGGTGACAAATCAACATGAAGGTTAAAGTGGAAGTACCCAGACAGTCAAGAGCAGACTTAATAAGATACTGTAGGTTAGGTAAGGGCCAATTAAATAGGGTCACAAAACACACACACATATATATATTATATATGATGTAGTATATAATACGTATATATATATAATATGAGCAGACTGTATTTAAACGGCAATACAAACAACTAAAAAGGAAAGATTTGAATGGTTGAGAATGGTATAAAATAAGTGGTCATCTAGGATCTATTTCCACCTAGCAGTTTTGTCGTTTTAAGATGAGATTGAGTAGAAAAAACATTGTGGTTGACTGGTCAGACACTGTGCAAATACCATACGCTGGGGCATCTTGTGTGTGTGTGTGTGTGTGTGTGTGTGGGGGGGGGGGGTTGCATACTAGGCACTGCTTTAATTGAATGCACCACAAGCAAAATAAGGTTGTCGCCTGCTGATCTGTATAGTTCAGTAAATAATGTTTGTGTCTGTATCATGTTGATTAATATCAAACTGCAAACTGCAAAAAGAGCAAGGCCTGTCACTTGTCATTCTAACACAGTCTCTAAATGGGATACATTCCTGTTTAAAGACTACTTCACTGGGGACCCGGTGGGGACCAGCTCAAGGGCCTCTGCTTCTGTGCAGGACTGCAAAAGTGGATTTGAGGAACTATTTTAGTGCACAGGTATGCGTGTCACTTACACACAGGTCACTCCTCAGCCGCCCATACTGCGTCGACACCCAAAACCCCCGCCTGTCATCCAGGGTGATGTAGGGCTCGCTCGGGTACCTGGCCCGGTACTTCTTCAAGAACCCGCCCTCGAAGTCCGCCAGGACCCCGTCCATGTCAACCAGAACCCGCAGTCTCTTACCCGAGGCAGAGGAGGACGACATGTTAACGCAAATCCTCTTACACGGATCACGGAGCAAGGTTGTTCCTCTTCCGAGTAGGCGTGTTGTACGGGACAGTAAGGACATCGTTGACTGTTGACTGAGTGCTGCAACAACTGCCACAGCCGTTAACCCTCTCCGGACGACGACTGAAAACAGTGGAGAAAGTCCGCATGAGAGTCGAAAAGTTTTCCAAAATACTGCGGCCTTAATTTAAAAACTGTTCAACACTTAGCATAGGTTGTGCTGTTATTTGTATTTTCGTCAAGTTCTGTTTCACTGTTAGCTCAACTTTATCATTCTGGGCGTCTCTCTGCTAGTCAGCTGCAGTTGAGATAACGTTAACGGTCGGTGGCTAACTTTAGCTGAAAGGCTAGCCGCACAGCAGCGGGCAGGTCAAATGTGACATGCCTTTGGTCACAGTGTAACTGGGAGCTGTTTGCATCGTTTGTCAGTGTGTATTACCCACAGCCTTTCTCTCAAACCCACAGCATCTGCTACAGTGGCTGCTGGAGCAACCTGAAGCACAAGGAGTAGTGCACAACTGGCACTGCAGCAGCGAGGGGAGAAAAGCTCTGAGCAGTGAGAACAAGCTGTACTACAAGGCTGCTCGGAACAAAGATATTTTAGGTGAACGGGATGGCTCACTCCTCTGTTGTTTTCAATGCGCGAGAGCCAAGTCCCAGTCACAGCGAGCTATTTTACAATACTGCGCATTTTTCAAAAAAAAAAAAAAAAACGTTTTATAACCGCCATTGTTGTTATTATTGTTTTATGAGATAGTCAGATTATTATAGGCATGGTACAGTCGGCTATTTCTGTCTAAATGTGACAATAACCAATTCTGAATGGATAAAGTCATTTTGCATTTCTAAAAGTGACTGATTAGGGACATCCCAGCTGTACACAGAATACATGT